CTCCCCACTGCCTTCTCAGAGAGTCACCAGGGCTCAGAACTTCCTCCTCAGACTAAGATGAACCTCGGTTACTTTCTTTGTCTCCTGGAACCAAAAAAAGCATTAACTAACGGAGGTGATCATAGTCGTGTTCACGTAGTACCAAATACAGTAGCCAAAATGCACACACAACACACAACCGCAACGTTCAGTTCTGTTTGTTTCCTCATTGAGCCGTGGAGTCCATTCTTTCTCTCCTTCAGTTCTATTCGAAGGGCAGTGATCTTTGTTTTCTTCCTTTTCTGAGACTCCCAAGTCTCCGTGTCCATGTTTTCTTCAGGTCAGAGAGCACTGAGAGGATTGTTGCTCTCCGCAAACCCACAGAGCATCGGTTGTTCTGATGTTCTTACCTGGATTCAGTCCACATCCATTAAACGATAGAATTATGTTTTCAATGTCCCTGGTGCTCTGTGGGACCAGAGCATATAAATGCCTGGTGGTCTGGGCATGGATTGGGTGAAGTTCCTCCCAAAAAACCCAATCTATTAAGCTAGGGCTGTGACTCTAGTAACTTCTGGCAGCCAAAAAGCCTGTGGTGTTTTCTCAGTGGAACTGGGAGGACCAGAGGTCGGTTGGCAGAAATAACAGTAGGTTCTGGTGCTGACGGGGTATCACTGAGGCCTGTGACATCCCTCGGTGAACAGGCTTTAAAGAATATCATGAACTTATAGAAATGATCTCATGAGTATCAGGAATATAAATTCTCAGTCCAATTGTATAGAATTTAGAGCCCAGAACAAATCCTTGCATCTTTTATGGTGAATCTTTGGGAAAGGATTCCATCTCCTGGAGTGGAGCAAGGAAAATCTCTCCTGTGTAATCTCAGGGCGGCTAGGGAAGCCTGAGGGCTCCCCTACACTGGCCAAGTTGGAAGCGGCTGGGGCCTCTCCCCCACCCCAGGCGGTAAATTTCCTGGGTTGATGGAGGTTGATTGATCAGTTACCTTTTATTCCATTCTCCCCACACGCATGTTCCACTCTCTCTGAGCCCCCCATTCTAGTCTCACACTGGCCCTCATTCCTGTTTCTTCCTGACTCTCCCACTCATCTCTCCATGCTCCATATCACAGCCTGGTCTCTCTCTCTCCAAGCTCCTGCTCCTGTATTTTTCTACATTCTTCTCCCTCTGTCCCCCTTGCTAGTCTCTCTGCGCTCCATCTTGCTGTCCTGCTCTCTGTCTCTCCAACTCTCTCTCTTCTCCTGTTCCCCAGCACTGGGGGTAGCCACCACACTCTTTCAGTAGCAAGAGCAACATAAGGAAACCCTTCCTGACCATCCATCAAGCTCAAGGGCTGAAACACCATTTAGGGGTGTTCCTCTTCTCCTTAGTCCAGTAACTTAATTAACAACTTAATTAACATCATAATCCTACTTCTTAATATTAGTCATTTAACTAGTGGAGCTGTGGACACAGTAAGAGATACAATGAGCTGCAGCACTATTTACAATAGCCAGAAACTGGAAGAAACCTGAGTGCCCAAGAACAGATAACTGGTTAAAGAAACTTTGGTACCTCTACACAATGGAGTACAATGTAGCTGTTAGAAAAGATGAAGTCATGAAATTTACATAAAAGTGGTACAACATGGAAAGTATCATGCTAAGCGAAATGAGTCAGAAAGAGAGGGATAGACATAGAAAGATTGCATTCATCTGGGGGACATAAAGTAACAAAATATGAGATTAATACCCAAGTATAGCTGAGATCAGCACCAGGAGGATTACTCCATAGCTTAGAGGCCAGTTGGGCATTCTAGGAGAAAGGGCAGCTCAGATAGAGAAGGAAGCACCAAATAAAGGGTGTTTGGAGGATCCTCCCAGGAGGGGAGATGTATGTTGAAAGTAGACTATGGATTGAACATGTTTGCCACTCAATTCATCTTTTGCAGACCACAACACTCAAAAGGAGAGAGAGAACAAAAGGGAATGCCCTGCCACAGAGGCAGGGTGGGATGGGGGAGATAGGGGTGGGAGGGATATTATCCATGGTGGTGGAAAATGGGAACTGGTGGAGGGATGGGTATTTGATCATTGTATAATCGAAAGCCAAGCACAAAAAATTGTAAATCTACAACTGTACCTCATGGTGTTTCACTAATAAAAAAAAGAGAGATACAATGAGCTTGTAGTGTGGCTCTCCCAGGAACATCGTGCCACGGTCTCAGATTACAGTGCTCAGGCCAGATTAATCTTTACTAACCCTAGGAGGGACAGAATATAGTTATTACTGTTTTGATCATGACAGAATTTGTCCATGACTATGCTCTTAACTTATAGTAAATTATTATGACACTTTGGCCAGGCCCATTTCGTGCCAGTGTAGTACATAGCTCACAGCTTGCTCTGGGCCCATCCAGTCCCTCGTCGGGACCCTGATTTTGGGGTGCTAAGAAGTAAGGGCAACTGAGGCTTAAGTAGAGAGAACAAATCTCCAGGAAGTAAAAATCATTCAGGGTCAGTTAAGTCCCAAGTTACTAAAGCATAGCATTAACTGTCTTCTTGTGTCCAAACAAAAAGGACATTGCTCTGAATTTACTATGCAAAGGACTTAAGAAGAGAAAAACAATATTTACAAGTCAGCAGAGCACAAAGAAAAAAGTTACAAATAAAGGCAGAGAAATGGGAGAACTGTGATGGGAGCAACCCAATAAACCTAAGCTCTCTGCGGCAAGACAGAAAGGACAAACCAATGTTATCCTACACTCTACAACAAATGGTGGAATGGGAAAACAACACCACACACAAAGACAACAATAGAAGATAGACTGAATCCATGTCTAACAGCCGATGCAGAATTTCATTAAAAGTGGACTTTTGGCAGCAAAATCCTTAAAATACACAGAGGAAAACCTCGATCAGTCTCTCCATGACACTAATCTTTAAAGAACTCATCTATAGTTTCATTCCATTGGCAAAGAGAAGAGAAACTGAAATAAATAAATGGAACTAAATCAGTTACAAGATTTTCATGAGAACGTAAGTGATATTAAAATTGAAGTAACCAACTGACCGGAAGAAAATGTGTACCCACCAATTATCAGATATTCATAACACTCACCAAGCTCAACATCAGAATAAATAGCACTGAAGCACTGTCCTCCTGTTGTTCATCGATTTGCTCGAGGAGCACCAGTAACGTCTCCCAACAAATTTTGAGACTTGTTGTTACTCTTTTTGGCATCAAAGACATCACGGGTAGCTTGCCAGGCTTTGCCATGTGGGCGAGAAACTCTCGGTAACATGCCGGGCTCTCTGAGAGGGGCGAAGGAATTGAACTTGGGTAGTCCGTGTGCGAGGCAAACACCCTACCCTCTATGCATCAATCCAGCCCATCAGAACAAATAACACATGATAAAATGGTGTGGAAATAAATAGATTATTTACTAAATCAACATTTCTGTGGGCTGTAGACATATGAAAAGGTGTTTATCAACACTATAAAGGAAATGTTAATACAAAGGACAATGAAACCATCTCTCCCCAGTGAGAATAGCTTATATCAAAAATACTGGAAACAAACAGTTTTGGAAAGTTGCCAAAGAAGACACCCTTTCTATGTTTGTGTGAACTTATCTGAGGAAAACACTATAAGATTTCTCTAACAAGTGAAAATAGAATCTCCAAGTTACAACTGATTCTATTTTTGGTAGCTTCACCCTAGCTTGAAAACAGTCATTTGAGAAAATACATGTAGACATATGTTTATTGCAGCATTTAGAATAGTTGCCAAGGCATGGAAACAATCCTAATGCTTAATGACAACTTTATGGATAAGGAGTTGTGGTGTATATACACAATGGGATACTGTGTAGTTATAAGCAAAGACAAAATAGCAGCGTTTTCTGCACCATGGATGGAACTAGAGGATTTCAAATTAAGTGAAGTTAGTCAGAGGGAGAAGAACAAAGTCAGACAATCTTATTCACCTGTGGTACACAGAGAACAGAGGGTCAGGATGGACAGGATCCAATGATAACGGCCCCTGCATCCTAACCACACTCTGGGATTCCGGAGAGGAGTCAGTCAGGGGCTCAGATCCCTGGGGAGGAGAGGCCGAGCACAGGGGCCGCAGCAGAGTGTGCAAGTCTTGAGGATTTGTTGCTGGGAGAAGCGCAGGGAGTTTGTGACTCACCAGCATCAACACTCAGGCTATTTTCATCGTGTTCCCTCAGTGACAGTAAGAAGGGAAAGAGAGAAATCTCTCCATTCTGTGAAAAGAAATGATCTTGATTAAAGAAAAATCAACCACACCTGACCTAGCAGGACATAACATTCTCTAATGGACTCTGAGAAAGGACGAGAAATAAGCAAATTTGTAATGGGAGAGAAAGCAATTATTAAAATGTATTAAATGTATATAGGAGATATATTAAATTTTATTCGTATATTTCAATTAAGGATAAAGAAACCCTCCCCCCCCAGCCTCTCTCCCCTCTCTCCCCTTGCCTCTGGAGCACAGCCCTGGAATCCCTGTATCACAGCACCCCCTGGTGGTCACAAACACCCCTGCAACTCTCCTGTCTCCCTCAGCAGGTTTGTGTATGGGCTCACAGGGACTTGCCCTCACTGTGTGTATTTTGCACAATAATACACAGCTGTGTTATCAGTTACTGAGTTACTCAGTTTTAGGTAAACTTTGTTCTTGTAGGTGTCCCTGGAGATGCTGACTTGAGACTGAAGACTCGGTTTATACTATGTACTTCCATCACTCCATGTACCACCAATCCAATTCAGTCCCTTTCCAGGGGCCTGGCCGGCCTATTGTATATCATAGCTGGTTAGAGAGAATCTGGAGACAGAGCAAGTGAGGGACAGCTTTTGCGAGGACATCAACAGGCTTGGTCCTGACTCCTGCAGCTCTACCTGGGACAGGACACCTGAGGACAGAGATCCACAGCGAGCCACGGGCTCAGAAGCCCCATGCCCTGCCCACCTTAGAGCCTCTGTCCAGGAGACACTCACAGCTGGGAGCTGCCACCAGAAAGAGGAGGAACCAGAGCTGATGCATGTTCCTTCCCATGAGGTCCATGATCTCAGATACCGTGTAGGGGGAAAGGGAGTTCATGTTGGTGTGATTGTGACCGTGGTTTTAATCCTGGGTCCCGAGTGAAGATTTGCATAGGGGAGCCTCTGTAGAGAAAGGAGTGGACCCGGGGGAGGCTGTTGTATGGGCTCCCTGGGAGGAGGTGCTGAGTGTGGCTCACAGCACTCAGGTTTGTCCCTGGGGCCCCGTCAGAGTCGGGCCTCTTCCTCCAGCACAGGAAACTTGGTGAGGAGCTCTCATGAAACAAGAGTTGCTCAGGGTGAAACGGCAGGTGGGGAGGAGAGTCCCCCTTGTCTCGAGTCCCTGATGACCAAACCCAGCCCCCCAGGGCCTCTACCCTTTAGACAGACCCCTGCTCCTCCGTGTCCCTGTGGTGGCTCCTGTTCTACCACTGAATATGGAAAACCTGGGGCCTTACAGGCAGTGGAATTGTCCCTGTGAATTATGACTTGGCCTGTTCTAATCTATGTCAATCAAATTTAACATTTTTTAAAACTCAACCTTAAGGTGTTCCATGGAATTATGAGCTGAGTTTTTTTCATACATTTACTTATTCATGTACCTTGGATAAAAATCCATTTTCCTTGAGCAGCTACACTCTGAAATATTCAAGGCAGTTATTAGGGTGGATCTGTTCTTTCTCACTGGTGCTGAGCCTATTTAAAGACAAGGAAGATGCCTCGAGTATTGTCTGTCATCTGCAAGCTGTTCAATTGAGTCATCCTGAATAGGATTGGCAGAACTCTAGATGAAGGACAACCATGCGAGCAGCCAGGTTCTGCAAAGGATTCAGAACGATCAACCATATCCACACGATGACCAAGCCCATTGAGGTTTCTCAGGCATTCAAGATGCCTTTCTGTCTAACGTTCATTGATTTAAATAAAACCTTTGATTCTGTTGAGATGGAAATGGTCATCAAAGCCCTAGCCAATCAAGGCATTCAAATTCAATACATCAGGATCCTCCGTGAGCTGTATTACCGATTCACTACCAGGATCTCACCATTCTAAAAAGAAGTGATCATCCATGTCAAGAGAGGGGTTCGGCAGCGTGGTACTATTTCACTGAAACTCTTCAGTGCCACCCTCGGGAACATCATGTGATGACTGGAATGGGAAGGAATGGGAGTGAAGATAGACGGCTGACAACTACACCTCCTCTGCTTTGCTGATGACATCATTCTAATAACACAAAACATTAGCCAAGCGACAAAAATTCTGGCAGACTTCGTTAGTGTGGAAAGGTCGAACTCCAGCTAAATCTCACGAAGACAATGTTTATGAGAAACAGTCCCGTTCCTGACGTTCCATTCGCTCTCAATGGAATGGCCATCTCCGAATGCAACAGTTATGTGTACCTAGGTCGAGAAGTCAACATGATGAATGACCTGGCACATGAGTTGCCCAGGAGGAAGAGAGTGGCTTGGAACGCCTTCAAGAGCGTCGAAGAAATAGCTAAGAGGATGAAGAACCTCCACCTCCGGGCACATCTCTTCGATTCCACTGTTCTTCCTGCATTAACATATGCCTCAGAGACCAGGGCCCTATGAAAGCAAGATGAGAACGCTATTCAAGTCTCCCAAAGTGGAATCGAAAGAGCTATGCTTGGAGTATCACGTTTCACTCAAATGAGAGAAAGAATCCGGAGTTCCAACCTCTGTCGACATTCAAGAATCAGGGATGCTGTCTCGTTTGCCAAGGCGTCAAAAATCAGAAGGGCTGGACACGTAGTGAGATTTGGAGGTGACCGCTGGACTAGAACCATTACTGACTGGATTCCAAAGGACATCAAAAGACTGCATGACCGCCCACGTACGAGATGGTCACACTTCTTCGTGTAGACCCTGAATGAACAGTTTGAGGCTCTTCGTGTTCCTAGAATGAGCAGATGCCATTGGACTACACTAGCACGCAAAAGGGATGAATGGAGACGTTACTGGCTCCCGCTCGAGCAAATCAATGAGTAACCGGATGTCAAGTGATCAAGTGATCAAGTGACCCAAGGATTGATTTCAATAGAAGAGGCCAGAAAATATGCTATAAAATTTGATGTTTAAAAAAGTTAGCACTATGGATCAAAAGTAATCTACACAACCAGCAAGTTCTACAAAATTCTGCTAAGATAAACACAGAGACATGTGAACAACAACGCAGGCAACATGAGTATTGAGATGTGTAGGATAATACTCTTTTGTCCTTCCTCAGGTAGCTTAGGATTGTCAGGTCACACCCATCTAAGGACACTGAATTTGTATTGTAAGCAATGTCCTTTCTGTGTGGACACAGGATGGACACAGGAAGACAGTTAATATTATGCTTTGTAACTTGGGAGTTGATTGACTCCGAATAATATTACGCCTGGGCATCTGATTTCTTGACTCAGTTGCCCTTAGTTCCTAGCACCCCAAAAACAGGGTCCCAACGAGGGACTGAATGGACCCAGGGCAAGCAGTGAGCTACCCTGGCATCGAAATGGGCCAGGCCAAAGAGCCATTATACTCAACTATAAGTTGAGGGCATGATCATGGACAAATGTTGTCATGATCCAAAAGTAAGTAACGACGAGACTAGGACCCTGCTGGAGCTAGGAAGATTAACCTGGCCTGAGGACTGCGAAATGTATAGTGAGATGTTCTCAGGAAGAACCAAACTAAATTTATATCTCTTACTGTGCTCATATAGAATGACATTGCTAGAAATATTAGAAGTAGATTTATTACAACTATTTAAGTGGATTACTAACTGAGGGAAGAACACACCCTTGTTGGGATCCCACCCTTGGGCGGATCTCCTAGTAATCTGAAGTAATCTCTGTAGATGAGATTTTATCCTTGAGTTAATCTCCTGGAGGAGTGGTCTTACCTCTCTTTGTTGATTCGTCAGTATTCAACCCAACTTTATGTCACCGCCTTAAGTGACTGCTATATAAACTAAGATGTAAGCTCGGAAAGGGGGTCAGAAGCAAGAGAGCTCGGGCTCCAGAGATCCAGAGTCAGAGCCAGAAGGAGAGAGGTTCCAAGATTGGGGCCCAGGAGAGAAGGAGGCAGAGAAAGACAGGAGTGAAGAGGATTGGAATAAACTACTATTGATATAGACCGCCCTGGCCCTCGTTTCTTCTTCCATCTGCCCTTGGCCAACAGCCGTTCCGATCCAGGCCACACACAGCGGCTCAAGAGCACCGAACGCAGGCGGTGAGACAGTGTCATCCAGTGAGCCTGTGAACACACAACCTTCGGCGTGATAAGATTTTACAGAGATGGATGATGTCACATCTCAGGGATCAGGTGGCTATAAGATTTATAACTACTTTCGTGTGTAAACATGTGACTTACTGTGACTGTCCCCAGCTGTCTGTTCCAGAGCTCCTGCAGGTCCAGGACAGTGAATCCTCACAGATCTGACCCACCTGCATTGTCTCTGTATCTCCAAAGTCATCAGTTTCCAGGGGAGATGGGTTCCCAGACCTCAGGAAGGACGCTGGGGTGCCTGGGGAATTTGGGGAATATTTCCTGAACTTGCTGCACCAAGACCAACAGGACACTTTCTTAAACTTAGGAAAGCTTGTTTTCACACACCAATATTAAGTGTAGATTAACAATATTTGTTTAATTTTCATCTTATTAAATTAAACGTATTTCTTTTTCCTTTCTTGCCTGACGTTGTAGCTGTTTCACTCTTTCAGATGTAGAATAAATAAAACATTCTGGTTTATAATTAGTAATATATTAGAAATAGTGCAAGATCCAAATTAGAAATGAAAGATACTAAGAATATTCTTTTCAGATTTTATCATTGTTAGACACTCCTGGAATGACAAAAACTTTAAAATTTTGTTTTTCACAGAAAGCTCCCGGAAGAGAACAAAACAGAGTCTCCTGCCCCCGCGCCTGGCTATTCTAATTGGGGCCCCTTGGAGGAGGGTAGATTGAGTTTCCCTCTCTGCCCTGAGTAGAGCCCCAACAGCTGAAGACCTCCGGGACCCAGCCAAAGCCATGCTGAGACCACTCTCCCCATGTTGGACGAGGAACTGGCAGAGGAACTCAGGTGTGCAGGCCCGGGACTGAGATCTCCAAGCCTGCTCTGATCGGGACTGGGCCTCCTCCACCCAGTTCCCCCACCTTCCAGTAGCTAGACAGTTACACCCACCAATGCCGTGTAACCCCATCAACGGCCTGGATCCAGAGACTCTAAAACCAAGCTCCCGGTAGCACGCAGCCGCGATCTCTTATTCTCTAGTTCTCATTCTCAGAAAACCAAGCAGGCTACTGCGAGTATCATACCCCCCTATATGCCTGACTAGAAATACCTGTAAAGGTGATTAGAGCTTACCCCAAAAGTTTCCATCCCTCTCGGAGAGCCTGGCAAGCTACCGAGAGTATCCCGCCTTCACATCAGAGCCTGACAAGCTCACCGTGGCGTACTCGATATGTCAAAAACAGTAACAGTGAATGGTCCTCATTCCCCTGATCCTGAAGGAGCCCCCAATATGTCATCGGGCCATACTAGCACGCAACAGGGACGAATGGAGATGTTACTGGGCCCGCTTAAGCTAATTGGTGAACAACGGGGTGATAGTGATAGTGATTTTCACAGCAACTTGAGCAGGATCAATGGAATTGGAGCATCTTTGCACATGTTCATTTTCCTGCACCACTAGCCTGATCCCTGAGCACTATAGGGGAGATCAGGACACAGACAGAGTACCCCAGGGTGCCTCCCCAACTAAAAAACACAGAAAATCCTTCTGTGAATAGTACAGTTTTTCATAAGGATTATGTGATCATTAGTTTAATTCAAAATTAGGCAGTTGCAATCATCACTGAGAGTGTAATTTTTAATAGGAAATTTACCTTCAACATTAGTCTTTATTATTGATATTGATCCTTTAAAATTCTTTGAGTTCCCTAAGTGAAGAACTAATGGTGCACTTGTAATTTTAAAGAGGTGACTTTGGAAGATTCCCCAGAACAGGATAGCTGCCCAGTGATGTCACTATGTGAGGGGAGGGAGGAATGTAGA